ATGTTTATATATATATACAGGTTGGCCCAAAAGTCGTGGATCAAACGCAACTAGGGGTTAGATGGGGTCATCAGCTGCAAAAAAGTTGTTCTACGGGAGGTCCTTAAAGTCAACCCCTGCAGAGTTATAATTTATTTTGTGTTTTTATGAGAAAATTGACTTTTTTTTAACTAATTCTTATTAAAATGCCAAAAAATAAACATCCTCTATCTTTTTTATAATTTTCACTAGATTGGTACTGATGAGTCCTTGCGTTAGACATGCCATTTATGGTTGTTTATTGGGTGTGTTGAAGATAATATTAAGTTTTACGATTTTTTTTCTCAAATCATAACTTTTTATTTACTTCGGACCCCACTGTGAAAAAAAAATACTCTACCGAAAAGTGACCCTGTATTACAAGTTTTGGCGCATTTAATAGGGATTCTGAAATGGTATTACACACGGCCATGAGTGGCTCTAATATCTTTCTAGGACGAAAAAACAAAGCAACGATTGTGAAATAATTGTTTTATTAAGCAAAACATTTTACAATAAATGCTCAAAATTCCTGCCTCTGACCATAATACATAATCTGCACCGTCTAATAAAATTCCTACGTAACCTACGAAATGCACTTCTGTTGTTAGTTACTTGTACTCTAGCAAACTCGAGCTTTTGTCGTAGTTCTTGTTCGCTATTGTTCTCTCCTTGGTAAACTATTTCTATAAAATAGCCCCAAAGAAAAAAATCTAATGGATTTAAATCGGGCGACCGGGGTGGCCACGCAACATGTCCGCCTCGACCAATCCACCGGTTGGGGAAGCGCTCGTTCAAATGATCTCTGACTGCTCGAGCGTAGTGAGGCGGGGCGCCATCATGTTGCAGCCACATTTCTGCTATTCTTTCTTCTGGAACTTCAGCTTCGTTAAGAATATGGTTTAAATTATTTTGCAAAAAATTTAAATACTGAGCACCATTCAGCCTTGCTGGCATTTCATGCAGCACCAACTGCTGGCCAATTATACCAGCCCACATGTTAATACCAAACAGATTCTGGAATCGATCATTTCTTATGATATGGGGGTTTACTCTGGAGTAAAAATGTAGATTGTGGATATTGAATACTCCCATTCTTCTAAAAGTTGACTCATCCGTCCATAAAACCTTGTTAAAGAACTGCGGATCTTCTCTGTGATATCTTAGCATCTCTCTACAAAACCGCACTCTAGGTTCATAGTCACCGGGCAGCAAAGCTTGCACTCTTTGCACGTGGTAGGCGTGATATTTTTTTCTGTTAATGACACGTTGCACCGTCGATCTTGGAATCCCGATATTACTGGATATTTGGCGTTGACTTATACTAGGATCCAATCTTAATTCTCTCAGCACTTCATCTTCATTTTCAAATTGCATCACTGGTCTGCCTGCTCTCATAGCATGCTGACCGGGTAAGACTCCCTCCATGTACGAATTATGTACGCGCATAAAGACCCTGTAATCCGGAAAACGATCACGGTTAGGGTAGCGTTGACGATATTCCCTGGCAGCAGCCCGGGCATTACCGTCGCAAAAGCCATACAGGTAATGCATTTCTGCATACTCCCGTTGGGTGTATTCTCTCCTCGCAGCAGCCATCTGTCCACTTTTGTAGCCAATCCGTCCGATTCACACAGCACTGGTCACAGGTAGGCAATCTATCACAAGTCCGAAAAACAAAGCGTAGGTCAAAGGAAAGAAACTGGTCACAAGTCGTCGTAAAACCGAGAAAAAGAACACGTGCGTACCCACAGGCAGGAAGCGAGTTACTAAAGAACACTAAACATTCTAAAGAAACATGCTCACGCGCATCCCCCAGCCCCCGCCCCTGCCGGCCCAGCCTTTTGTTTCCTAGAAAAGATATCGCTACCTGAACTGACGGGCCAACCGGCCTTTTACTGACAAAGGATTAAATAGTTAGTGTAAAAGAGAGGCAGAGAGTCTTTGTCATTAATTGTATTAATTCTAGTTTATTTTTAAATAAGCCTAACCGAGTTTTATGGTTGGGTTAACTTTGGCCTTGCCATGAATAATCGTCCTAAAAAAGATATCAAAGCCACGCATAACCATGCGTAATACCTTTTCAGAATCCCTATTAAATGCGCCAAAACTTGTAATACAGGGTCACTTTTCGGTAGAGTATTTTTTTTTCACAGTGGGGTCCGAAGTAAATAAAAAGTTATGATTTGAGAAAAATAATAATCGTAAAACTTAACATTATCTTCAACACACCCAATAAATAACCATAAATAGCATGTCTAACGCAAGGACTCATCAGTACCAATCTAGTGAAAATTGTAAAAAAGATAGAGGATGTTTATTTTTGGCATTCTAATAAGAATTAGTTAAAAAAAGTCAATTTTCTCATAAAAACACAAAATAAATTATAACTCTGCAGGGGTTGACTTTAAGGACCTCCCGTAGAACAACTTTTTGCAGCTGATGACCCCATCTAACCCCTAGTTGCGTTTGATCCACGACTTTTGGGCCACCCTGTATATATATATATATATATATATTGTATATGTGTGTGTATATGTATATGATATATTCTGTAATACCTACATGACGATTTACAGAAATGATGGTGGTGAAAAATACGAGCTGGAGCAAGTGCCAGAAGTCATCAGATCAGCCCAGGGAGTGGCCAACGCTCCATGTGGTACTACAGAGCTATTCTATATATACGGAAGTACTTTGGAACTTCGATAGCACGATTTAGTTTACGGTGCAGTTTTGCTTGTGGCGCGATGACAGCGTTGCCACATTGATATTCTTAAGAACGAATTTTGCCATAAAGATAAAGCTTCTTCAAATACTGTTCAAAGTAATGGGTATACCACTAAATACACAAACAAAACATATTTTATTTTATTAATATCATAACTTTATAGTTAATCTTGCAAACATTGGCCAAAAAATCGAAATTATCAATAGAGAGCTATCTATCTATTGATAATTTCGATTTATATTCTAAGTTGTAAGGCTTGCCTTACTCACATATATTACCTGTTTCTGTAATGATTTTTTTCCCCAAGATTAAAAACAATAATATAAAGTTTAGTACCGTGAAACCTTACAACTTTGCCCTTGGGGGACATCTTTGCCCAAACACGAAAATTAACCAAAACTACCGATAGACATTTTATTTTAACAAATATCAACTTTGTATGGTGTCTAGGGAAAACTAGAGTATCTGTTTGACAGCACTGACTACTACAATCGCAGCTAACTATATTCAGGCATCTGTCAGCAACCGTCAAAGGAACAGTGTCGGAAGGTGGTGCAAAAATATTGTTGCAGTTTTGCATCCCGCATTGCCAAGAAACGCTGCGCAGGTAAGATTCATTATTATTTACGTGTAGAGCATTAATTGTTGCTGCTTTTAATCAAGGTCTCTTTCTTACACTTGTCTTTGTTAGCGAGAAAATTGTGAGGGTAATGTTGTAAGCAATTTTATAAACTGAGGTCGACAACATTGCCCAGCTCAAAAATGTTATTAGGGTTGACACTATTAAAAAAAAAACAAGGAAACATGTACCTAGGTATAATAAATAAAAATAATAAAATGTAAATATATAGGTATACTTAATAAAATAAATATGTAAATGTATATATGTATATAAAAAAAACTGTATAACAATAACTACTGCTAACTGCAAACTAAACTACTGTTCTGATAACTATATAGGTAACTAGATACTGTTTTATATATTATTTTAAATATTATAAATAGGTATATACTTGTGAGGAATTTCTGTCAGAAACCGCTAGTTTCCCAAAAGAGAGAACTTAAATGTTCTCAGTTTCAAGCTAAAGTTTTTAAATAAGATTTATGCGGCAATTCGTTTGCAAAAAAAGTCTGAAAGAGAATTGTCAACGACAGACATTAACGATCGCAAACAAAAATGGTCGACAAAATGGATTGGTACGCACAGTAGGTGAACCACGCACATCAGTGGTAACAAAATCAGTATAAGCTGGCCTCGTATTATATTAAATAAGTATCGTCGCTGTCTATTTTCCTTATCTCAACTATCAGGGTTAATTTCTGAGACAATTTTCTAGAACTTTCCTACCTAAACATTGATTTTCTTGATTTTTTTCTTGTTCAGTTAGTTTTTGTTTTTAATTTTTAAAATAAAATATACATTATTGCCTTAAAATCAATTTATTATTTTCCTTTCATCTGATGCACAGCCCTAGCACTTCAAATCTCTTAGTATGAAAGTGTGACTAAATGTGGTGATAACATTGCCCACCGCCATTAAAATGGACTTCTATTTATTTGAAAATGTAATGGTATACCATATTGCCGGTTTGCTAACAATATATCTTAAAATCAAAGTCATAGAACTTATAGTTGCTGAGAGATTTAGGTTGAGCAAAGATGTAAGAAAGTGGAGATAACTTTGCCCGCGTCTGTTTTTGTTTTTTTCCCCCAGCATCTGTTAGGAATTATGTCACCTGGTTTTGACAGTTTATTTGTTGCATATAGTGTCGTTTAAAGCTTCAGCAACCATCAAAATAAAGTGGCTAGTTTTTTGAAAAAAAGTAATAAAAACCGAAATATGTGGGCAAAGATATAAGGTTTCACCGTATTGAAAATTATTTTGTTTACCTTCAAATTTATTAGATGGACAACAAATTCTTTTGTATCTATAGTCCTCATAAGTGCATAAATACGAGTAGCTGGAAGATTTCCATAGCATAAATTGACAAGGACAGTTAAAGATTTATGCCCAATAGTGCGGTATTGTGGCTCTGACATAGGCTGTACTATCCAATCCGTGAGCTGCTTCATGAGTTCAGATAGATAAGATTCTTGCCAACTGATCTTGATGCCATAAGAAATATCCTGAAATTAATAAAAAACGCTTTTTAATTTAAATTTAAATAATTCCATTACAGTGGGACAAGTGGCACGCGTCCGTAAGCTTTGACCACTTAATCCTAGGCCCCTGGGGCAGGGGTGCGAAGAATCTCCGGGAGGAAAACCGGCAACGAGGTTCACCACCCGTCACGTTCTGTCTCCCGGAGGGCCGAAAAGTGGATTGCAGAGGCCCGTCTGGCTACGTTGAATGTATGTGGATCAATGAATGATAAAATGGATGAAGTATGCGATATGATGTATGATAGAGAAATAGATGTGTTATGTGTAAATGAGACGAAACGGAAGGGGAAGTCTGGTGTAGTCGAGATCGAGTGGGCATGCCAGGGAGTAGGTATCATCCTTTCAGAAAAAATGGGCCAATGTGTGAAAGAGTATGAAAGTGTAAGCCCAAGATTGCTATGGATACAATGAAAGTGGGCTTAAAGAAGTTGTTTGTGCTAGGTGTCTACGCCCCAGACATGTCTAAGCCCACTTATATCAGAGAGCAGTTTTGGGAAATGGTAAGGATGGTGTTAATGAAATGTAAGGGAAATGAAAATATTATTATGCTAGGAGATTTTAATCGAAGGGTTGGGGTGAGGAGGCTTGGTTATGAAAGGATATTGGGAACTTTTGGTGATGAAAGTATATATGAGAGTGTTGAAAGCCTCCTCACCGTACGTAACGAAAAGAATCTTTTTATTATAAACACTTGAATTCGCCACAAAAGGATTCACATGTATATTTGGGAAAGAGGTGATGATAGAAGCATGATAGATTTCATAATTGTGCATGAAAGAATGAGGGGCGCAGTGGTAGATACTAGGGTTTACGGGGGGTCTAACGTAGGAACGGATCATTATTTGGTTATGCCGAATAATGGTCTATTCAGGAGTTGGCGCCATAGGTTGTCAGGCGTCATAGGATAATTTACAATAAAGGTTTACCTGCATAACTGATAGCAGTTTTATTTTCTTCTCATTTGAAATAGCACTGAATAAAAGTCGAGCAAGGATGGGCATGAATCTGAAAATACAAAAACATTTCTTATTGAAATAAATATTGAAAAATTTATTTTAAACTAACTACTTATTTATGCTAAATATTTATGAATATTAATTTCTAGAACAGTACTAGCTGCCTCACAGATATCGGAAAGTAGCGCGATGAGTTTCACTGCACTTTTAACAATGTAAAATATAAAATTTAATAATGTTACGAGCTTAGTGTTCGTGACAATAAAAACTGCCGATTAAATTACCAAAATTTACACTTTAAAATTTACGCTTTAAATACGCCTTTTCCACCGAAACATACAGAATGTTCCAGCAAAATACCGGTCCCGACCGACTAAGTTCAAAAAGTACGAGAGTGAACCCTTCTAGAAAGCTTAATTCTTCTGTTCGATACTAGATGGTGCTAGTGCCAGGTACCAGACATCAACTTAGGCATGATGATGATGTCTGGTACCTGGCGCAACAACAATACTCGACTATAAACCACCCATCAGCTCCGTATTTAGTGATTTTTATTTAAGAATATAATAAAAACAATTTATTAATTTTAGTAACTAAATATAGAATGTTGTTATTAATTTGACTACAGCGCCACCTATCACATCTTAGCTGAGCTATGATGAACCTTTGTTATGACAAAACAAATATATTGCATGTATATGTTCTCAATATGTCAAGTTGTTCAGAAGTTACACATACAAATGCTTCAATAAGTATAAAGATAATACCTTCACTTTTATAGTAATAAGATACTCACTTGTAAGTATGAGTAAGAGCATATCTAGCATTAGGTTCAATTGCAGCCCGCGCTAGAACAGCCACTCCAGCCCAATGTGGTCCTCTACAGTCGCAAATTACTCGCCATAGAGAACTAAAGAAAGCACACACCTCTGATCGACCAGGAGAGAATATTGAGAGATCACATGATGATGCAATTAGCTGAAAATATATATTTGTTATAAATATGCTTATTTATTTGGCTTCGCTTCAGAAAAAGGTAACAAATGAAAGCGCTTTTTCTTTTAATATACAGTGGGCCCAAAGATTTGATTTTATAACTTCTCAGAATAGGGAGGCAGGAAGGTATGTTGCTAGGCGTGGAAACTTTTTTCTCTTTTTACAGGATAAGGGCGACAAACGAGCACACAGACCAGTCCACAGGATGGTAAGTGGTTGGCCCCATAGACATCTACATCTATTCTTGATAGATGGCCCCCAGTCCCCGGCGGCCCTGCTACCATGGTACCACGGAGGCGACCATGGTAACGGTGGGGCAGGGGGTGCTAAGAATCTCCGGTGGAGGTTCGGTTGACACCTACGACGAATCGACCTGGCAACATATATCGCACGCACCCTGAGGACCGACGAGAAGATCCTGGAGCTGGAAGAAGAGATAGACAAGTTGCGCTGGAATATTATAGGATTATCCGAGGTCCGAAGAAAGGGGGAGGACGCGATGATTCTCGAATCCGGCAACTTGTTCTGTAACGTTGCACGTACATGTATGCATAATTATAATTAAACGGTTTATTAAAATTAAATAAACATTTAATAAACTAAATAAAAATAAAATAGAAGTTATTAACAAAAATAATTCTATAATTAACTTAGGTATCCTATTAATAAAACAAATCAGTAAACTAAAAGAACGAATTAAATAATAAATCAAATATTAAAATATTGTATTTCGAACAAACACTCTGACGCTTCGTTACTCTATGCGCTTTGCAACTCTCGCGTCAGAGTTTTACCCGACCGGTATCATTCCACGGCGTCGCGCTCCCGGTCATTCTCGGCCCGAGCGCCCTGGGAGGCGCACACTACCACTGCAGCCGCGTTCACAAGCTCTGCTTTGTGTCCTCGTACGCGCTTGCAAATTTTAATCCCATTTTGGAAAAAGTTTAAAATAATATAATAATTCCGGCACTGTGGCCGTATAGTTTTTTCGTTAATTCTCGTCACCGAGACCTCCGTATCGTCTTGCACCCCGTAAGGGTAAGTGTTGAAACGTTACCTAGTTTTAAGTAGTGAAAGTGTTTTATAGGTAGTGTAATTTGATCATGCCAGGCTGTTTGCTTTTAGCTATTTAATTGCCACGTTATTAGTGTTATTTGCATGTAAGTAATGTATGTAGCCGCTGTGTGCGTTGGCAAAAGTACCGTTACAAAATGGCGTCTCATACATTTCGCACCGCGATCAAATATCGCAAGTCACCATCATGTTTCAACCAATGCACAGCCTAAATTAGTTATCCTGGTACATTTAAACAGTATTTTACACTTGCCGTAATTTTAATTCATGTGTATTTTAATTTGCGCCTCACCGCTATGACGCTTGCCTTCCATTCCGCCTTGTAACTCCGTTCTGATTATGAACACCCGCCAGCTACTCTCTGTGCTCCCATCTACTGCTAGCCTGCGATATACCGGGGGTTCATAATCGGCGGCATTTTATTACCTGGACCTAAATGTGGACGACGTTGTTTCCAGGGTGCAATTTTACGACTACAACCGTGGCGGTCGTCCTTCTTAAGAGGGCCTAGGCCTCCCCTCGACGCCGCCACCGCCACAGCCAGCTGCCCACGGCGCTCCCCGTGAACAGTCCAACCCCCCGGCCCTGCTCGACCACCTCGCGGCCACATAGGGGAGTACCTGACCCTGCCAGTGAAGCCAGACGGGCACTTTTTTTTAAATTATCGGAACCACGCCCACGACCTTTTCTTTTACCAATATATAATTTTTTTTTTATGACTGGTTGTTGCCTTATTTTAAACAACACTCGTCTCACTGGCGCCCATAAACGTGGTAAAAAAAGGTCTGGTTTCACTGCGTAGGAGTAGTTGGTGTTTGTGTCGTTTTGTGTTTGTGAAACGTTTTTGTTTTTTTGTTTTTTGGTTGCAGCAACTAATGTGTACGAATTTCATTATTGTGTTTGTTTTAGGAATTTTATTGAATTTCAATTGATTTATTTATTTACTTGTATTATTTGAGAGATCATAAACTTTAATCCCTAACTAAGAATTTGTTTAGTTTCGAATAACTTTTCGTAATCACTCTATGCCGTGCACTACCTATGTTGTTTACGTTCTATCATTGTACAGAGTAGTTAGCGTGCAGAGTGGTCACTGTGTAATCTGTGATAGGGTAAATTTAATATTGTTCCGAGGTATTATTATTCTATTCTGCAGTAGTTTTTTTTTCTCGTGGTTTTTTTTTCTGTGATATTATTATTATTGAAATTTTATGAATTGTAACTATTCCCTATTGTTGCTGCAGAACTCTAGTTCAGTTGAGTCACGCATGCGTTGGTAGTATTCTAAATTATTCAATCAATTGTTTTTTTATTTTAATTCTTAGGCATATTATTATTATCTTGTTGTTGTTTTATTTAATTGTTCGAGTACACATTAGTTGCGTATTTTAATTTTTTGTTGCGCTGCTTCTTTTATTTTGGTGGCAGTTGCTTTATTCTTTTTACTGCTTCTTTTATACGCCAATCGTTTTAGTCAACCAGAACGTTCTTAGTACCTGATATTATAATTGTAACGGAACGGAGTAGATTAAGTCAGTAACGACTCAACACTTACCTCTTTGCGGTTATACGCGTGTTATAATGGCGCACTCGGTTAAATTCCTATCGTTGCAAAAGTCGGAGTTAGAATACGAAGTTGCCATTAGAGGTGCCACCCCGGCTGACACAGTCAGAGAGTTACGCGAGCAGATTGCTAAATTAGGTCCACTCTTTCCTTCGGAGGACATTCTCGAGAGCGTTTTGTCTGTCGGCGATGATTTAAAGGGAGTCAGCGATGCTTTAATTAAGCTAAGAGCATATATCGAGGCGCCTAGCGATGGGAATGCGTTGCTTCGTGCTCGCAACCTCATTAACCACCTACATCATCGACTCAACCGTATAGTTTGTGATAGCACGACCCAGCAAGGGGTGGTGGATACGTGTGTTTCGGAATACAGGCAACTTTTGGAACGCTATAATGCTATTACTGCTACTGATTCCACCCCTTCTCTGGCATCTAGAGACCCTCAGTCTACTGCTGCTTTACCTCTCAACGTTAACGTAACTTGTGAGCGCGGCGTGGCTAGTGAGTTCACTAAGTTTAAGTTCGACGGCAAATCTTGCGTTCGTGCATTTATCCAGCGCATCAATGAATACAGCCAGTCGAGGAATATACCGGGGGAAAAACTGCTGTCTTACTGCGCTGAGATTTTTACCGGCGATGCCTTGCATTGGTATCGTGCCATTCGGGACCAGGTATCTAATTGGGACGAGTTAGTTTCCCTTCTTAGAGAAGATTTCGACCAGGCCGATTATGATTACAGACTCTTGTCGGAGATTCGGGCCAGAACTCAGGGCGAGTCTGAAAATATAACTATTTACATTTCTATTATGACTGGGCTATTCTCACGTTTGTCCAAGAGCCTGTCTAACGAAGACAAACTTGAGATCATTTTACATAACATCCGCCCATGCTACGCCAGCACCTTAGCTTCTGTCCCGAAGATCTCAGACCTCGACACCTTGCGTTCGCTCTGTCGTAATTACGAGAACATCCAGGCTCGCCTAGTGGGATTCCACGAACCTCCGAAGGTCTCTTCAGGAACACTGGCGCCAGAGTTTGCTTACGCTGGTCAGTCTGCAAGTAGGTTTAATCAAGGCAACGGCCAAAGTTTCAATAAAAGACCTTACAATAACTTTTACAATAGAAGCAACAATAATTACAATACAGGTAATAAAACTTATACTAAAAATAATAATTATGTGCATGCGGTGCAACAGCAGTACCAAAAGTCTCCTTATTGTCCTAGGTGTCGTAATAACACCCACAACCTTCGTCAATGCAAAGCAAATAGGGATAGAATATTTTGTTTTGTTTGTGGCCAGGAAGGCGTCAAGTCACCAGACTGTCCGAAGTGTGGCAAGGATAAACCGAGCACTTCAAAAAAACTGATAGACCAGCAGAATTGTACTGAAGTCCTGCCACCCAAGTTTGA